ACAAGTAGCTGAAAAGTTTCGCTATTACTGTTACAATGGGATGGTACTAGTGTCCTCCACCACAAAAGCTGAGGCAAAATATTGATTTAATGTCGCTGCCACTTTGTGTTCGCCACTATTAACTCTCCACTATTAAGTGATTAGCACTTTTTCTCCTAAAGTCTCAAACTGAATGAAGAATTTGGAGAATTATTCCAATATTAAACTCAGATTGCTAATTTTGAAGTGGACTGTTTCCCATATTTTGGAGACATTCTGATTGATGCAGAGTTTGAACAAACGGCACCACTCTTAGCTACTTTCAAATGTTAGCCAAGCTGGGAGCAACAGAGATTTAATGGGCTGCTGAACTCACGTAGATTTGATTTCAGATCTCATCCAATTCAGTCAAAAGTAATAATACAAGTGTTGATGCCCGTGGTTGGAAAACTACCCACAGGAGGGAAGCTACCCCTGGCAGCTGGAGAGGGCTGTGGCTGACGTCTTGCTCATGCCCGTGCCCCAATTCAGAGGCAGCATTCCAACTCTTCCTTTTGGCATTCAGACTAAGATTCAGTAGACTGTCATCAATGCATTTTGAGGTGATCCAAACCAGATACAGACAAGTAGAATCTGGTGTAGTTTCATCTTTGCCATCTAACTTGGCAGAGGATCTCAGACAGCTTCTATTCATTGATGTGTATATCTGTAGACTGCAGCATTATTGGAAGATCCAACATCTACAAATCCAGTGCCAACTAATGAGGGAATCCAAACCAGCATGGAAACTGTTAAGGTGCTGGAAGAGGATCTGGGAGGAGCATTGAGTTCTCTAACATCTGTTTTATAACAATGAGAGAAGGGTAAAGCACCTCATCCTTCAGACAGCCTCAAGTGTCAAGTGTTGATAGCTATTCATTATAATACGCCAAGCAATGGAAAAGGTGACCACCCTGTCCAGAGAATGGTGTTACTGGCCTGAGATAGCTGCTGATTTTGATAACTATGATCGCAATTGAGAAGAGTACTTTGACCACAGCAGGGAAGTGAGGACCCCATCCCCTCATTGCCAGGGGATCTCTAGAGGTACCTATAATGGATTTTATAGTCGTTGACCTCATTAGTAATGGGATAGAACATGTTCATGTACTCACAGATGTCTTCACTAATTTCATGCTGGCCATTCCTACCCATGACCAAAAGGTCTCAACTATAGCCAGAGTTTTAGTGTGTTCTTGATTGTCCATTTCAATGTTCCATATCTAATTCACAGTGCTCAGGGTGAAACTCTGAGAGCAAGATCCTACAGTAGCTTTGCAAGGACTATGATATTGCTAAGAAATGAACCATCACCTATCATCCAGAGGGTAGTGGATATTGCGACCAATTCAACTATACTCTGCATGACCATGTGGACTGACCTTGCCTCTTGACAGTAAACACATGTGGTCTGAATAGCCTCCAGAAGGGGTCTGTGCTTATAATAACACCCCACACTCATCTGTGTACTATTCTCCACACCATATATCGGCCCTTCCTGTGGAGCATCACTTTGGGCTCACAGACCTCTGATGGCAATGACCAGGGCAACAAGTGGATGAACACCACAAGAGGCTAAGCCAGGCATTCAAGATGGCATCCAAGAGGCCTCGGAGAGAAGTGTTGAGAAGAAAAACTATGTCTCATCAAAGAACTAGCAAGAAAGATCTTCAAATCGCCATAAGGGTGTTCTTCTGAAATTGGAATATCTGGGTCAGAATAAACTACAGTATGTGTAGGACTCCAAACTCAACAGAATCATCAAGCGGCTAGACATGTGACCAAATCAATAACTGAAGAGGGGGTGTGGGTAGCCTAAGAAAATGGTTTTCAAAGGGAGCTGCTAGAGGCCAGGAGTCTGGATGATATGCAGTCAGGTAGTCACTCAGCAGTGTTGTGGAACATGAAGTGTCAGAACATGATGGACCAAATGGATACAGAATACCTTAAAATCGAAAGGTTGTATCTAGTATGGAGAGGCCCACGTCCACGTGTGAAAACGATGCAGGGAAGACCTGCTGGGAGAAACTCAAACTGAAAAACTGAACCAAACATTACCTCCAATATTTAACTCCTGAAGCACCAATTAACCTAGACCCTACGATGGGCCATCCATCATAGAACCTGTATCTCTTGGAAGGTACCAGTACAGATAGAAAAACTGAGAAAGTCTTCTTAAGTAAATGCTGAGTATTACCCAACCCTTAGTGTTTGCCCAGGTCTGTAGTGCAAGAAGAGAATGTTATCAATAACTGGAACTCAAACAATCTAGATATCATGGCAGAATGTTGTCATCACTAAATATATCCACAAAAGACTGCCAATGTACATTTATCGAAATAACACTAAAGACTTTGAATCACAAAAGACAAAAAAGAGCTATTTTACACTGTACACGAACTAGTTGAAACAGTTTACTATAAATATCACAATAAAGATTCAACCGTTCTACCATCAAGAACAACTTTGCAGATATTCAAACCTCCAGTGAAGGCTCACTCTATTTTCACTTTAAAACTCCTTGTCCGTTGAGCACAATTATAATTAGATTCTCTTTGGCAAATTTAGACATTCACTCAATGCTATTTCATTAGTTAATGTCTGTTCCTAACACTCTTATACAAAATGCTGCACAGCTCATTTATTTCTTAATATGTATTGCTTAAATTCTTCTTCCACAGCCCTTGTGTCAGGACCTGTTCTCTGACTGTTATTAAACCATTCAGGACTTCATAGGACTTCTTTACAATATATTTATTTTTAAAATGCTTACTTTTTATTTGAAATCCCTTTATAACTTCATACCACTATGCCTTAATGATCTACGATTTAACTGACCTCATGTCTCTTTGTATACATTGTACCATTTGTGGTTATCATCCAGCTACAAAAACCCTGACCTTAAATTGATTCACACAGCAAAAGTAACCAAGTTTGAGAAGCATACAACTTTTTGCATGTCAATAGAGGCAAAATTGAGTGTGTAAAATGGGCATTGTTCTGAACTTTCCTAGTTCCCACCAGGCCAATTAGGTTAAAATTGGGTTCATTTGCATTTTGAAAGTGGCTGTATTTCACTGCTCACTGTCTCGTTAATTGATTGAAGAAACTTGATATAAAATCTCTTTCATACATGTCTTCCATTTGCCCAACAAAGCTCTCTTTTAACTAATTTAACTCTCTTCCTCAATATCATTGTCCATATAGTAATTTCCTTCTTATTCAAAATTTATCCCAAATGTGAGAAGCTATGTAAATACAAGTTTTTATTTTAAGCTAGTTAATTTAGAAACTCAAATTTCCTTTAATTTTTTTTGTAGAACATCACATTAGCTTTAGTTATTTCAATTAGACTATGTAAACTTCAAAGATAAATAACTTCTGAATGAATGTAAAATCTTAAAGTATTGACTTGAATTAGTCTTCAAAAAACTTAAGTTTTAGGGACCTCCTTTCTACTAACAGTTGCCTTGCTTTATCCTTCTCTATAGAGAGCAGTTCGGAAATTTGCTTCAGCCATTATAGCCTTGCCAAAGTCTATCCTAAAACTTCCAAAAACCATACTTCAGTTGATAGTCAGAGCTATAAAGGTATTTCTCAGATGTTTCATGAGTGTGTGGAATGATTATGCCTCATTATGTAGTATGCCAACACATTTAATACAGTGAATCCCAACCAGTTGACAACTCTTAGATAAATTTGGTTTAATTGTATTTTGAATGAATTCTTTTTCTGCAATGTTTGTAATAAAGTTGAAAACTTCTGTGGAGGTGAAGTTTGGAACCATTGATGAAATGACCAACTAATATCTATTTTTCCAATGAAAGTACCTGATAACAGATAAAATCTGGCTCTTTCCATCTCCTGAGATTGCCAATTGGTGGGCTTGTACTGTACTTCCCTCTTATATCAAAACTATTCTGCCTTATTGTAACTAGCTTTTAGCTGCATGTTTAGTTATCGTTCATTAGGATTGTTCCAAATTAAATAGAGAGCTGGATAGTTGACACATTTCAGATAAGTGAAACCATTTAACAAATTTAAAACAAAGAAGAATTTTCTGAAGTTGTTACTTATTGAGATAAGTTGATTTGTGCACTTTTTACACAAGCTAGATGCTCAATTCAGTGATGCAATGCTGACTGCGATATTAACATCCTATTATTATCAAAGTAAATACATTGAAATCTACTGAAAGTATGTTCATATTCAAGGATTGTGCATTATATGAGCAGAGACCCTTTTTATAGGCTGTAAATACACAAATCAAAATCTTGTAGTTTAGAGTTGTTGCTGATATTAATTCTCAGATGAAACAAAGGAAACCGAAATTATTGATTTAAATTGAAAGATTCAAATTACGAAGATCTAAATGCTGATTGATTTTTTGTATTTTTGTGTTGGTTGTTCTGTACATGAGTTCTGCTGGAAAACAGCTAGGAAACATTTTGGTTTCTGTACAACATAATATGCATGCTTTCTTTTATGCTTGCTTTAAGCCAGTGCTGATATTTTTTTCATGCTTCTGGTGTTGTTGCTTTGCATGCATGTGTTTGTCCACTACTGGTACATCTGTTGTGGTAGTAAAACAATAACAAAAAGAGAATTGATGTGCTGCTGAATAAATGGGATTTTTACGTGGCATTAAAAGTCACCACAGAGACAAATGCTTACAGCCGATTGTAACTAAATCAATACTACTGATAAATTATTTAAACTAATCACTAATTATGATTTTAATGAACTAACAATTGATACAAAGTAGCAAACAAATCTTGAGTTTTTCTTCTTTCTCTACTACTCACTTATGATTGTTCAATTTATACTTGCATAGTGCTGTATTTGGTATTTCAAAAATAAAAACCTGGCCAAAGTGATACAGAACAACTCTACTGATACTCTTGAAGTAGACTTCCATTAATGGCAGTGAGATGGCTTTATAGTGTGTCAGTCACAATGACAGCAATCAATAAACATGTTGATAGGAACATCTCTCATCAGCTGTAAAAGTTTGTTTGAATTGACAAAAAATATTTAATGTGCTAGTCGTAGTGATTTTTTTATTTAGGCAACAGGCATCAGCATCAAGTCTCTCGCAGCCAATATGGTATGGTTAAGTTCTGTTTGGAATGCTTCAATACTAATTTCAAAGATAAATCCTACTCTCATTAGATCACCGCTAATATACTAAATTGACATTTCTTTGATGCATTCTGTGGCATTTTAGGATGAAATTGCTAAACTAATGCTGGTTTGTGCCGTACAATCATGCTTACCAAGATAAAGACTGCATTTTCCATAACTAATTTTACTTGCAACGATTGTCACCAACAAATAGGCAAGTAAGATAGTCATTAATCAGTATCAAAATATTATGTTGCACTTCCTTTTAGTCAAACCCTTTTATGTGTCCAGTGGTAGAAATATGACAGTGGATTTTAATTAGTACTTTTAAATTAATGTCAGTATAGTGCATGCTTTTTGTATACTTGTACAGCACTATAGTCAAAATTGTTAATTGTTAGTAACCAAAACATGCAACAAAGTCTAGACTAATGCCTGACTCTTCCAACTAAGTATATGTATGTTTAATCTGTGTTTTGAATCCAACATCATACAATATTTTAATCTACTTGAGCTGTGGTGAGTTTCTGAATGTCACTTATTTTTCTATGTCGTATGGTTGTGCACTGAATGGGGTTACCTTAAGTCTGTTGAAGAGATATGTGAACTTTTCTCTTACAGTTTATTTATCAGACCTGGATGAAAGATTCAAAATCGGTATTAAAAGGAAAGGAGAAAAATAAACGGAAAGAATGGGAAAACAGTAAAAAAGAAACAGGAGGTAACTTTGGTGCAGTCATTTGGTAGTCCATGGGGCAGTTAGTTCAGTTGTCTAGAGGACTCGAGTGTGGTTTAGTAATAAAGCTAACAACATGGGTTCAATCTTTGTACCAGCTGTTGTAATTCATGGAGGCCTGCCTCTATATGTTACACCACACTTGTGGAATAGTTCCTGTCAAGCTATACATAACAAGTTGTCTTTCTCAAACGCAAAAAAAACCTCTGGTGATTCATGGACTATGACTGATAACGTTGTAATTTTCTAGTCTATGTGAGACACGTCCTGCAGCATTGTTAAAATAACATTCATAAAACTATTAGTATGAGTTGTCTTAGGTCACAAGTAAAGTTACAAGTTGAAATGGAGTTGCTGGATTTGGCTTCCCACACACATTTGGTTGCCATTTGTTTCAGTGTCTTCTAATCTGATGTTCTTCTTGGTGATCAGAGGTAAAATCAGATATCTGATATTGAAATTATTCTGGTGGGGGACAGGAGGGACAGTGGGGTGGGGGGAGGGTGCGCGATCTAGTTGTACTCTATGTATTAATCAGGAAAACTGCAGTGTATTTCCAACAATTAAAGCCGAGATTGATAGTTTTCTTGTTGAAAAATAATAATCTGGAAAGGAAATAGTGTGTATTTGAAAATGTCGATTTCTTAATGCATGCCGGGGTTTCTGCAGATCTTGGAGTGTGGAAAGTATTTGGAAATTTCCAAAAAAGACCCAAAAGTTATTGAAAATTTCTGGAATTTTCTTAAGAAAGTTGAGGTTTTTTGGAATTTTAACCTTTCGTAGTACTTATCCATGTCCACGTCCCCTCTTTGTAATTGTTTGCTTTTCTACACCTATCCAGAATCCTGTAAAGGTAAATAGACTGTTAACTACAGAAACACTTTTCCTAGAACATAAATATTCTATAAAATATTTTAGTTGGAAATTGATCTTCCTGTTTAATTGAAATGCAATGCAACTTTTTAATTCTTATAAAGCTGCAAATACCTGAATTTGTAATGTATTTAAAAGAAAAATATGGTTGTGAAATATTTCAGCTTGGTTATCCAAGACCATTGAATTTTAGTGGTGCAAAACTCTATACGTCTTCATATGTTTTTTTTGTAAAAATCTAAAACCTTATTAAATGTTGGAGAAGAATGGGGTAATAGACCTGAGGGTACAATTCATTGATTTAATTGTTTTTTTTTCTTCAGAGAAAGTGCAACTGTTTTCACTTCTTTATTCAGATATTTGCAGCGTCTACCATGAAGGCAATTTGAGATCACTTAGGTGACTTTTCAAAACAGTAATGAAAAATGAAGCAAATGTATGGTACATACTTTTGGAATAATGTTAAGCTTATTGACATGTCCCTCCACTATCTTTTGGTTAGGTCACATTGCAATTGAATGTGAAGAGACAGAAGAACTACCAACACCAGAAGAAGTGCATAAACACTCTAATGCACCAGGTATGACAACGTTTAATGATGATAAATGACATCTTAATTTAAAGGAATTATGTTAGTTCTCAATTCAAGAAATCAAAGTGTAATAATTAGAAGAAATAGCACCAAGCTTCACAAATGAAGATGACTGTTTAGAATTCAGCCATGAAGAATAGCACATCCCATCAGGGTTTTCAAATTTATTTTAACAGACTGAAAACCATATGAACTATAAAATTTAACCTCGCTAGCTTATCTATGAAGAGGTCTCATACACAAAATTTAGCATCAGGTATAATGGTCATGATCTTCCAGTGTCCAAATAGTTTAGACATACCCTGAAAGATATACATTGGAAGTCCCAATGCTCTAACTATGTAATTTCCCAGGATGTTTAAACTTTCAGTCAGCAATTACCCTGTTTCTGAAACCTCCAAAATAGTTCCCAATTCTGAATTGGAATCTTTAGACGAATATGACTTACTTACCTTGATAATTAGACAGAAGAAGTTAGATGAATTAAAACCTGCTTGAACTTCTGCTTAACTATACAACTGACCATGTTGTTCACCTACATTGATCCCCCAAGCACCTGATCCAACCATTTTCTTACCCAGACTCCAATCCCATGGGACATGTGATGGTGGCCCACCCATCAATAAAACCAATATTCCCCTGCACACTCTCAGACACCTAACTCCTCCGCACCAGACAACTGACTGCTACCCAGGTACTGATTCACCCACCCATCTAACACATTACCCCCGTCCACATGCCACTCTATACCCTCAACCACTTTACCCCATTACCAACCTGGCAACCCATTACCTTACCCATCTGTCGTACTACCCTTGCAATCCTCTCTCCTTGCCCTCCTGCCAAGCTCTCCCCCTCACCCAGTTACTTGCCACTCTGACCCTTTATCAAGCTACCACAATATCCCCTAACCAACCTGCCACACTGTCCCTCACCTGCTTATCTGTCACTCTCTTCCTCCTCAGACAATCCTTTGAGATCAAGGCGACTTTCTTCTACCATAAAGTTTTGGGTGCTGAGTTGACTAAATGGTCAAATATGGATCTCTCCAGTTGAGAGAGATTGATGGGATGCTTGTGTTTCTCCATAATCCTTCTACTGTTTGCACTTGGCTGCTACATGGACTTGTTGGAGATGCTCAGAATGGTTTGAACATTCATAGATATTTCTTGTCCATTTTAAATGGCCTTGGTAAAGAGATTCTTATGATTTGGTGGGCATTTATTTCAGGGACACTTTCATAAAGTCCTTGAACCATTTGCTCTGTCCCCTTGGTAACCACTTGCCATGACAAAGTTCAAAATAGACAGCTTGTTTTTCAATTCTTGCATCAGGCATGCAGTCAATGAGGCCCACCCAATACAGCTGATTGACAACAACTAGTTCATTGAAGCTAGGTATGTTGGCCTGAGAGCAGACACTGATGTTGATATTGAAACAGCTGTCTTGCCAGTGGATTGGCAAGATTTTGTGGTGGCATTACTGGTTATATTTTTCTAGTGATTTGAGGTGTTGTCCATGTCTCTAATGCATACAGCAGAGCAGGTTTCTCCATGTACCATGGATTTGGTGCTGGATTTGAGGTCTTTGTCATCAAACACTCATTTTTTTAGATGGCTAAAGGCACTAGCAGTGGAGGTGGTGTTGAGTTTCAACATCAAAATTAGAATTAGAATTTGATTTTATCTAATTTACTATTCAAGTACAGGGATACAGTGAAAAGTGTACAATGTTGCCATTCTACGTAACCATTTTAAATTCAAAATACAAAACCAGAATTTTTTTTAAAATGAGAGGAAATCAAAGAAATAGAGCCAAAGGAAAAAGAAAAACACCCAGATCTTAAAGTTCTTAGCCAAAAGAAAAGGAAAAAGTCCAGATTTTAAAGTCTTAACAACTTCACTGTCTGCTCTCACTGAAAGGAAGCCAGTCATTGATGAGTTATGCAAATTAATCTGCATTGTTCATAGTTTCACTGTGAATCTTGATAGTTGGGGTAGCCTTGAATGGCAGGAGCAAGTTGGTTAATGACCTTTGTCGGAAGTCACCCCAGTCCAACACCGGCACCTCCATGTGAACTTTTTCTTGTTGATGTTTATCTTAAGGCCCATTCTCTTGTCTGCCTCTGTGAATGCATCAAAAACGGTTTAGAGCTCAGCCTCGGAGTATGTACACACACTACCATCAGCTGAACACAGCAGCTCATTGACAGAGATTAGGGTGGTCTTGGTTGTAGACTGGTGGCAATATGGATTGAACAGTTTCCTGCTTGTCTGTAGATTAGCTTCAATCCAATGGAACGCCTCTTGAAGGTGAGGTGAAATGTTGTAACAAGGTAGATAGAGAACAGTGTTCGTGTGATGACACAACCGTGCTTGACCTCGCCTGCCCCCCACCTCCACTCCCCCCCAGTTTGCACTTCTGTTGGTTGTACGGTGGACATATTCTTGAGGATCACAGTTGCATGCCATTAAGCAGCAAGTGGAGGAAGATTTGCAATTTTTTGTGGGCAGACAAACTTGAGAAGGATGCTCCATAATCAATTTAATAGAGTTGAAGGCCTTTGTCAAAGAAGGCCATGTTGAGAGGCTGCTACTGCTGCCTGCACATATTTTGGACTTGTCTTGCTGTGAAGATTATGTTCACTGTGTCTTTTGATAGATAGAATCTGCTTGATCTCCATTCAGAGCTCTTCACCCATTGGATTGTGGGTGTTTGAAGAGGCTTCTTGCAATGAACTTCCCGGTGGTGGACAACAGGATGATCCCTGTGTAGTTATCACAATAATTCATGTCTCCTTTCTTGATGGTGGTATCAGTTGTGGTGTCTTAGATATCCCTGTCATACTTTCCCCCTGATTTTATTTGATTTTGATTTATTATTGTCACATACCAAGATACAGTGAAGCATATTGACAAATCATACCTTACATGTATATGTCAGGGTGATAGAACAGAATGCAGAATATAGTGTTACAGCTACAGAGAAGGTGGTGAGGGTGAGAAAGATCAACTCTAATATATGAGAGGTCTATTCATAAGTCTGATAACAGCGGGGAAGAGGCTGTTCTTTTTTTAAATGTATTCATTTTGTGGGACATGGACGTCGCTGGCTGGCCAGCAATTATTGGCTGTCCCTAGTTGCCCTTGAGAGGGTGGTGGTGAGCTGCCTTCTTGAACTGCTGCAGTTCACTTGCTGTGGGTTGACCCACAATGCCATCGGGGTGGGAATTCAAGAATTTTGACCTAGTGACAGTGAAGGAATAGCGATATATTTCCAAGTTAGGATGGTGAGTGGCTTGGAGGGGAACTTGAAGGTGGTGGTGTCCCCATATATCTGCTGCCCTTGTTCTTTTGGATGGAAGTGGTTGAGGGTTTGGAAGTGCTGTCTGAGGATCTTTGGTGAATTTCTTCACTGCATCTCATAGATAGTACACACTGCTGCTACTGAGTGTGGGTGGTGGAGGGAGTAGATCCTTGTGAATGCAGTGTTAATCCAGCGGGCTGCTTTGTTCTGGAAGGTGATAAGTTTCTTGAGTGTTGTTGGGGCTGCACTCATCCAGGCAAGTGTGGAATTTTCCATCATACTCCTGACTTCTGCATTGTAGGTAGTGGACAGGCTGTGGGGAGTCACGAGGTGAGTTTCTCGCTGCAGTATTCCTAGCCTCTGATCTGCTGTTGTAGTCACTGTGTTTATGTGGTGAGTCCAGTGAGTTTCTGATCAATGATAACGCCCAGGATGTTGTTGATCCTTAAATGTGTTGGTAGGTGTTTTCAAACTTTTGTATCTTCTGCCCAATAGAAGAGGGTGGAAGAGAGTAGAACAGAGGTGGGAGTCTTTGATTATGTTAGCTGTTTTCCTGAGGCAGCAGGAAGTGTAGATGGAATCAGTGGAAGGAAGGCTGGTTATCATGATAGACTGGGCTATGTTCACAAGTCCCTGTAATTTCTTGCGGTCTTGGGTAGAGCAGATGCCCCACCAAGCTGTGATGCATCTGGATAGGATGCTTTCTGTAATGCTTTTATAAAAATTGGTAGAAGTCATAATGGACATGCCAGATTTCCTTAGTATTGTGAGGAAGTAGAGGTGTTTGGTGTGCCTTTTTTGACTGTAGCTTTGATGTGGATGGACCAGGATAGATAATTGGTGATATTTACTTCTAGGAAGCTCTCAACCACCTCCACTTCAGCACCATTGATACAGACAGCGGCGTGTTCTCCACTGTGCTTCCTGAAGTTGATGACCAGCTCCTTTGTTTTGGTGACATTGAGGGAGAGATTGTTGATAATCATCCTTCAGATGAATAAGATGAGGTTATGTTTCCATACCAGGGTGCTACTGTCCCATATTTTACTGTGTTGTTTCGAATTCTATTTGTGCCTATGGCCTTGTTGGTGTTCAGTTGTCAGTTGGACTTATGAACCTCATGCCAGGTTGGGGTTACGCTGAGATAAAATCATAGAATTATAGAATACAGATGAGATCCTTTGGCCCATTGAGTCTGCATCACCAGATACACTAGTCCCACTTTCCCACACAAAGCCCTTAGCTTTGAATACTGGGAGCTGGCATGTTCTGGGTTGAGGCCAAGGATACTCGTGTGAACAACTGAGTCTCGGTTGAGGAGATCTTTGAAATGTTCGTCCCAATGAATTTTGGTTGTCTCTGTGTCCATGATGAGGGATGGTCTATTCTTAGCTCTCAATGGGATAGATCCTTGGGTCCTTGGGCCGTAGATAGTCTTGACTGCATTGAAGGATGCATAGTTATTAGTAAGTTGCTGAACTTTCTGCTTTCTTTCCACACACCACCAATTCTTTCAGATACTCATTGTTATGTTGAACCTCGGTTTTCATTTCTCTGTAAACCTGATCATTTTTCCTAGAGTATTGGTGGTGCTTCCTGTTCAGGAATTCTTTGTGCTTGCAATTTACTTTCTGGATTCCCTCATAATTCTTATTGCCCCACTTTTGATATTTACTGGTAGAGAAGATAACAGTGTCCCCGTAAGTGCTCTTTATGATGGATTTAAGGACAGATTAGGTGCTGTGGAAATTCTGAGGTCCCTGTTGAGCATCAGTAGGTTGACTTTGAGATGCTGACTCTTCCAGCCTTTCTATGTAGGCTGTATAAGTCTATCAATATTGAATTTTATGTAGAAGCACTTCTGCTGCTGCTGCCACTACTTTTGGGCTGAGTTGATTGAAATTGAGGACTGGATTAGGCAATCATTGGTCCGGCACTTGCCAGCTTCTGTCATGACATGAGTGATGTGGACTGCCTTGCAGTTCCCTAAGTGGGCGATAACATAATCAAGCAGATGTCTGGAGTAAAGGTTTGACATGGTGTCCTGTATTGACCTTCGACAAGGGTTTATTATGCCCAACCATGTTCTAGGCTTTTCATTAGGAGAAGGACTCTGTTGGTGTTTGCTTCCCTGTTGGTGTTTGCTTTCCTTATGCCGTCCTTGCCAGTCGTTTTTTCCAGAGGTTTCTGGCATTGGGATCTCCAAGGTGAATTAGCTTGTTTCCTTTTGTGGAACAGGATAATGACTGAAGAAGACTGGAGCCAAATTCCTGTTTGGCCTCAACCATCATTTCTAGAGTTGGGCCACATGCACTGACAACTATCGTCTATTTCTTCTGAGTTGAGGTGAACTAAAGGCCATGGGGCATTGTTTATCCCACAACGATGGTTAACAGGTTCCTCTCTTGGTGAAGGCAAATCCAAGTAGTCAGCTTTGTTCTTCTGGGTTACCCTTCCAGAAGAAGGTTTATCTGCCACCTTATTCCTTGAACAGGCCCTGACCTGCCCACCTTCTCTCACTCAATGTTATTGCACTGGGTTTTCAGGCTATGATAATGCTGTATTGTTCAAGCCTGTAACAAGTGGCGTTATCCTTGAGGGTTTTAATGTACCAGATCCTGAACTTTATTTTGAAGGCCGTGTGATAGCCAGCATACACCCATGTTAAAAAGATTTCTTACACAGCCATCTAGCTATTCCCCACACCCTCATCCAGCCTCTTAACACCCTAATCCTTCACCTGGTACCTTACCCTTTTGCCCAGCTACCACTCTAGTCCCTCTGCGACTCAATTGCCACCCTAGCCCCTCAACTACCTCCTGCCAACTTAGCTCTTTATGCACTTAGCCCACTTATCTGCAACGTTACATCCTCTTCACCACCTGCTCCCCCGTCCCCTCACACAATTGCCTGCAATCCTGTCCCCTCAACTACCTTCCTGCTACCCCACCCTTCAGCTACATATCAATGTATGTACACCTTACTTACTACCCTACTTCCTCACCTTCGTATCTGATCCCTACCGCTTCATCCATCTGCTACCCTTACATACCTACTACCCTACTTGTGTACTGACGCTTCATTTTACCCCCTCACCTATCCATCAGACTATCAACCCACAATACCCACTTCAGATGTCAAAGAGGCTTTTGGGACATTTAGCCTGAGTTTACTGACTAAAATATGGCAACTAATGCCATAACTTGGTACCATGTTTTCTGTGAAGGTTCACTAAATGTTGCTTTACTATTTGCTGACATCTCTCTCTGGGATTAATCCTGTATTGGAAGTCTGACCTGAAAATTCCTGGGAAGGTATATAGCAACATGTTGTTAGATCTTGATTGGGAATAGAGATTTCAATACAGATTGGAAGATTGGACTGATATGTAAGACCATTATCTTTCTTATTGTTGTGGTTTTGGAATATCTTTCATAGTTCAGTTATTAAACAAACAAAATTGTACACAGTATTCTAATCTTAATATAGAATAATTTGTATAATGAAAACTTTATGAAAGACAAAATGCTAGAAATTCACAGTAAGTTAGGTAGTAGGAAGCAAAAATAAAGTTAATATTTCAGGTAGATGAAATTTCAGTTGCTGAAAGGCCATTACAATGATAAGACTGTATTCTAAATTGGCTTGGTCATTAAGTGGCAGTGGTTTAACATAACTCCCTTCAAATAAATGTCATTAAATTCCAACGAAATTCTTGATTAATATTTTTACATATTCTGTAACTTAGAAAAGTATTAGTCTAACTGAATCCTATCCATTGTTTTGTTATGGTACCCTTTAATTGTCTGCACATATTTCACATACACTATCCCATACAATCTTGCACTAGTGCAAGTTAAATTCCACCTGTTTCCTGTTTCATCGTACTATTATCAAAGAGCAGCATGGGTGCATTTTGTGATTTAGTTCTCCCAACTGAGATGAGGAATTTCATATCTTCAATTCATTCATTGAGGTCAACATACCCCTTTGTAGTTGTAATTTTCTGTCTACAGTGGAACAGGAGTTGACTATTCATAAGAACTGGGTGCAGAAGCAGACAATTCAGCCTCGTGAGTCAGCTACCCTATTTGATACAATCATAACTGATCTCATTTCAACTTCAATTCCACTTCTTAGCCAATCTCTATAATTCTTCAATGAATTACCAATTAAAAATCCTTCTTAAATTTACTCAATGTCCTGACTCCCACCATACTCTGAGGTAGTGAATTCCAGAGATTCACAACCCTTTGAAAGAAGTAATATCTCCTCACCTCTGTTTTAAATCTGCTAATCCTTAAAACTATGACCTCTCATTCTAGATTGTCCCACATGAGGAAACATCCTCTCTACATCTACAACTCAAATCTGATCTGCCATTTGTTTCGATCAGAATTGGTCTCTACCTTGACTCCAAATACCTGTCTTAGCTCAGATCCTTTAATACTATTTCCAAACAAAACATTACCAATCCCAGCTTTAAATTTTAATTGGCTTTGTCTCTATTCAATGGATGGAAAATCTTGAGGCCCTATTTCTATGAAGTCCTTGTTTGTACTCCATGTTGGAAAAGCTGAATTCACCCTTATGTTTCTTATTGATCTATTTCTAATAATCTTTCTCCTCTCTGTTTCTCAGATAATGTTTTCAAGCGGGTGTTTAATCTTCTGAAGTTCACATGGGTTCTTTTCTTGGCTCTGGTGGACAGTTTTACAAAATGGCTAAATTCAATCTCAAAGGAATGCATTGATATATCCACTGTTCTGAGGATAGAGAGATGTATGCTTACGAGAGAAGTAAAGAAGGTATGGAATATTTGAATCATCGTTCTAAAAATTGTGTTTATTGAATAAAAAGATTTAACTGAGTTTTCAAAAACATTACTGTCTAATATCCTGACTATACCCAATATATGACTATTACCCGGATTTTCTTTTATTCATTCATATAATTTCAATGTCACTGGTTCAGGCCAGATTAATTGTCCATCCCTAAAGGACAGGAGTGAACAGATGATTTTTTACAATAACTTACAATGGTTACATGTCTGCCATTGGGCTAGCTTTGTAATTTCAGATTTTTATTGAATTCAAATTGCACCAGTTGTCATGTTTGGATTCAAACACATGTCCTCAGAATATTAGCTAAGGGTTCCAGATTACTAGTCCACAACACCACACCCAGTGTTTACGCTAAGCTGTGCAGTTGTTCCAAGGGTCCATACATGGCAATTAGTAAGCCTATGCCATTTGTAGCATTGGCTTCGGACTCTGGAAGTTGCTGCTGTGCATGGACTTCAGAGGTCCACTCAGAAGGAAAATGAAGCAGGAAGGTTGGCCATCATCTCCTCTTAGTCTATTTGATGATAACTGGGTGATTCTTAACTAGAAACTAAATAGGTTCAAAACCAATGTAACAGCACTCTGCTTGCTTGCTCATTATGATCTAACGCCCATATATTGGCCTCAGTAGCATGCCACAGAGATCTGCAGGCTTCAACCAGATTGGTGTATATCAGGAGGATTCTACCCTGAGAGATCAGCTGGCAGTGAGGCAATCCATGGGACCTATGTGGGAAGGGAAGGCCTTGAAAAGACTGTAAAAGTAGAGTTATTTTAGCCTTTGGACTGCGGGTTAGCTCACTCAATGATTTGTACTATTACATCAAAACCTATCATTTTACGAGATCATGAAGGCCTTTGGTTCTATTCATTCCATAATTCATATTCTAACTTTGCTGTTACAGCTACTCCATCCTTTTTTTGAAATAAATGAGTCCAGTGTGTCTACCAACCTTCCTGGCAGTCCATATCAAGTATTTGATCATCCTTTGTGGCTATTATCAGATTGAAAGTCATGCATTTTTAAACTCTTTTTCCACCCAACTAGCTCTGAAAGTAATTACCATCAATTAAAACTTTCCTATTTTGAAATTACGATCTTTTATCATACAATCTTCTAAATTAAAAAAAAGTTTATTTTTTATTTCATCTAATTGAGAATTAGCCAGCATAAACAGGGCAATCCATTTTTATAATATTTTTAAATATGCAAGCCACAAAATATGGTTCCACGTTATTGCCGCAACAGGATACAAATGAAGGGAAGGTAGTCCATTCTTGCCAATGTCTGGCACAGCGAACAACGATTGCCATTTTGTAGAGTGACATTTCAGATATTTCATCTGGGCATCGTAAGCTGGCAGAGGGGATGAATTATAGCTTCAGTTTGCCCCCAGTGCTGGATTGGCACACAACCTGTCATTTTAGTCCTTGCCCACTATAATAATACCCTCCATTAAATATGCACAAGTTGATTTTGTATTCAGCTGAAGGAGAAGCACCTTTGCAAACTTTTGAAACTTCAACTTCCATATGAGCTGCTTTTGGCTTTCTTTTGCATCATGAATGAAAGTACTTTGTTGGAGGAATATTACAGCGTTATTTCAGTCAAAACAGTGTGATGTTCGACCTTTGGAAGGAGTGATGTGAATTTGAAAGGCCTCTAAGCATATTATTTGCCATCAACCTATGACCAATGGAATGAAGGGGAGATGGAGCAGCAACAGCATAAACACAAAACAGTTCACAGAGGTGGCGAGGAGAGGGGGATGAAGAGGAGAACTTTTTGTAGGCAGCCTACTAACCTTGTGTTCAGAGCACTTCTACTTGTACCTCAGTCAGAACAATGTTTGCAGTAGCTGCACTGCATCAGAACCACACCACTTTCTCAAATGTGACCCAGAACTGCAGAATAGGATGAGGACTCTATGCCAATGGCTGTCAAGATCACTGTGCCCCTTAATTTTCTATACTAGCCCATTTTGACTGGTGTCTACAATATCATCAACATGACAGTTCACTGTCCATCACAACATCCGGAATAAAAATGGAAAATGCTGAAAATATTATTGTGTCAGGAAACAGTTCCAAAGAAAGGAACAGAATCAATGTTTCAAGTTGATGACCTTTCATCAGAACTGGAGAAAACGGCTTAGAGAGAATGAAGGGAGCAGAAGTATTGAAATGGCAATTAGCATTGTGGCAGTTCTCAGTGAAAAGACAAAAGAGGGCAAGAGACCAGAAGGAGAGGTTCTGGGGAAAGAAAATGCTGGTGAGAGGTTTAAGGGTTGGCTGAGCAAAAGGAGGACTGCTGGCCAAAATGGGCATGCAAACAAAATTCATTTTGTAGGAGTTGTAAAGAGACAAACCTGAATTCTCTTCTAAGGACAGATTATTCAGTGTCAGAGAGGGAAATGTTCAATAGTATCACTAATACATAGCCAGAGGTCAGATTAGAAGAAGTAATGGAGTTGGGGATACGAAGGGGAACAAGGATCTGCAGGGATATTGGTTCACAGTTTATTGGAACTCATTATCCTTAATATCTAAACCAAAGGAGCTTTTCTTTGTGAAGATGTTGAATGAAACAAAAGATGAAATCAAATTGCAAACGGGATAGCATTGCGATATGGTGAGTCAGTACTGTTGAAGAAAGAGGTGAAAGTTGTGCATATGGAGCATAGAAGTACACTTGCAATGTCAAGGCATACGAGAGATGGAAAATCAGAATAGTTAGGTGGTTATTTTTGACTAACACAGACTCGATGGGCTGAAGGCCATTTTTGTATGATAGACTTGTTTGACTTGACAGCTGCAGCCCATGGGTTACGTATATGCAATGTGCTGTTATGAAAGGATTTCTAGGGGTTTGACCCAGAAACAGTGATGGAACAGCAATATACTTCTAAGTCAGGATGTTGTGTTTTGGAGCAGAACTTTTCCAGTATGCCACATAAGTTAAGTTCCCATCTGAACTCTCTACAACAGGATGTGCTTATAAACTTGCCCTCTGGGGAGCTGGCACACATACTATACTTTTCCCCTTGTCTTAGTTCCTGGTGGGTCGCCACATGCAGATCCAACCTCTCCAATATCTTCTACAGTACATGCAGTGCCAGTATCTGAGATGTTGCCTGTAAATGTCCAATCATGTACTAGCAGTTCTTTCTCAGAAATGTGCTATGCCTCTAAGCCCTCATTTTCAGACACCACCGGGAGGTCAAGTGATAAGTTTTGCATGTGTGTAAGAATATAGAAGGAGAGGGTTGAGGTGAGGGAAGGGAAACAGGTGGGAAAAAAAAGAGGTGCATTGTTGCACTATTGTCAACTTACACATCGTATTATTTTCTGGGATCAAGGTAAGTGGGATTTCAGAACTCGCATAAAGTAGGAACACATCATCATCCCATTGACCTGAGTGATAGCAGTTTCTACTATCCCAATGATGGTTGCATCAATAATACAAAGCACTGTCTCCTCCAATGGGGTGAAGATATGTAGCCTTGCCTATCCTCCTTTGCTATTAATATCTGATTGGATGATGTGACTGTCATAGCTGAATAGTTATCTGGAAGCTGCAAGATGAGGTTTGCTGCCATGGTAAGCGTGTGAGGGTGAGGTGGAGCATGTGAGTGGTAGTATGAGTCCTGATACCAAGAGATTGCTGATTGATTATGTGATATAGATGTGGACTATTGAACAGTGTGTATGGTTGGTGGTATGGAGACAGCATTTAAGATTGCATTCACTGCCTTTAATCACTTAGAGATCATCATTTCTTTTTAACATTGTATATTGGTCCTCACACTTGGTACTGAACTCTGACTATCTCGTCCTACTGCTTTTCCAGTATTTGCGCAGAGAGACTCCTGGTCTACTGAGGAATGGTGATAACTCTCTTCCTTTCCACCTTGAGTTAGAAGTCACATGACACCAGGTTATAGTCTAACAGGTTTATTTGGAATCACACAAGCTTTCAGAACACAGCCCCTTCATTAGGTGCAGTGAGACAGCAGGGCACACAGACACAGAATTTATAGGCAGAGAGGTCAACGGCAGATAAGCCAAAAGATCATACAACTGATGTGAGTGGACTGTCAGATATCAAGTCTCTGCAGGTGACCAAGAGTGTTAGACGGTATGTAAAGTGTTTATACAGTCAATGTCAATGCTGTGCTGTCATGAATCAGGCAGAGCCAAAGGAATGTACAAAAGGTGGCATCTCAGGTCATACACTGAGTTGTAGGTGTGAGGCTTTGTTCAGAATCTGTCTCAGAGTTTTAACCTGGAATCAGGCTGGTTTTATTCCGAAAGCTGGAATTTATAAGATGCCTCAGTGACTGACTGTGACTACAAATTGTGTGTTTTTTGAGCAAAATAGAATGTATCTGCAAATAAACAAACATCTTGGATGAAATAATTCTCCCCATAGATTTATTTCTCTGTGTGTGTGTGTGTGTGTGAGAGAGAGAGAGATAGAGAGAGATAGACTGTAGGAAGTAATTCAAAACTGCACAAACTAATTAAGTTAGAGAGATCGTAACAATTTATCAAGGTGATGCTGTTAAAAATGCAAAGTAAGGAAGATTTTACAGATACAGAACAGTGTGGTGAGGTCACGTGTAGCGTGACGTGAACCCAAGATCATGGTCAAGGACAGCTTCATGGATATGAAACCTGGCTATCTGCCTCTGCTCAGCGATTCTGCGTTGTTGTGTATCTTGGAGTCCGCCTTAGAGGACTGGAGGCATCACGTTGATAAATTGTTATAATCTCTGCACCTTAATTAGTTTGTACAGTTTTGAATTACTTATTATATTCTCTCTCTCTCTCTGTCTGTCTGTCTCTCTCTCTCTCTCTCTCTCTCACTCTCTCACACACACACACACAAACACATAAATCTAATGGGTGAATTATTTCATCCAAGATGTTTGTTTATTTGCAGATACATTCTATTTTGCTGA